CAAAAATAATTATTTATTTGCTCTTGTTGTTGATTTATTCATCTGCAGGGTTTTAATGGCTCGAGAGGGTAATAGTTCTCATGTTTCTCTCCAAAATACACATAATTTTGTATGTAGAGGAACTAAATCTTCTGGAGGATTTTATTATTAATTACAGCCGACCAGCGGCGGAGATAGTAAAGGGGAAGGAGAGTCACCTGACCCCACTATATTTTAAAAATTATCTGTTTTTGTTTTTAAAAAATTGTATTGACTTCACTAATAAAAACATTGACCCCCAAAAAAACATTGAATCAACAAAAATAATTAGAAAACATTTAAATTAAATATAAATTTTAATTATATAAAAATATGTTTATGTTATTTGTTAAACATTTAATTTGAACTTAAAATTTAACAAAAAGATGTTTTTAATTTAAATTATATTTACGTATTTGTGTTAAGCCTAAATTGTATTAGGGCCATATAATATATCTATGTGTACTTCATAATATCTACGAAACTTGTGGTTCTATAAATGTGTATATTTAACTATTTTTTTCTACATTTTAAGGCGAGACGATTTTTTTTATAAAAAATCCAGACTAAATTTTTTTATACTCTGCTCTTTTGCTTATGAAAAAAACCTCTAGAGTTTTATGTTTATGATCTAAATATTTTCAACAGTTAGTTTTGTATTTAGAAACAAACTATTTTTAATTTATCAGATAGAAAATCTCATAGATCAATTTATTTGAATAGAAAATCTTCTTCAATGGATGATAACTTCTAAAATAGAAAAGAAAATTGTCAAAACAGTACAAAAAATTATTACAAAATCATATTAGTGATCAATTCTAAGTGATTTCCGTATTCGTTTTATAAAACAAATATTTCAAAATATAGTAAATGAAACTGTGATAAAAAAAAGCAAGCTATGGGTGATCGTATAGTATATTTATATTTGCAACAATTTATAAATTATATTTTTGAAAAAAAATTCCGGCCTCGGTACAAAACCTTGCTGGCTCCGCCACTACAGCCGACTACATCAGAAAACTATGACTGGGATTTCTTCATAATAAATTACTGTAACTATTACTCTCTCATGAAAACGCAATATGAATATATATATATATATATATATATCTATAATATTATTTGAGAAGTCATTTTCTTCGTGTCGCGCTCACGTTAACTCTCACGATGGTTGATTACATATATACCCTTAATGAATTGTTAGATTTTAAGTTTATTATTAAATTTTTATTTAATTTCTTTTTTACCTTTTTCCAAAATAACATATAATAATAAAAAGGAAATATTTCTAAAAATTTTAAACTAATTAACAACGAAAATATATGTATATAATATGACTTTATTAAAAAGGAAAGTTTCACAAAATAGTAATATCCCCATTAATATATATTTTTAGATAACATAAAATCTATTTTCAAAATAATTAATATATATATATATATATATATATATATATATTTATGAACATTCAAAAATTTATCAGTTACACTTTATTTTTTAAGATTTTTTAAAAATCAACATATAATTTGATAAATATTATGAAAATACATGTATATTTAAGCGATAAATAAAACTAATTTGATTGGACTTAATTAAAATGAAAAGTAATTATACTTCAAATTTTAATTTAAAATTATATTTAACTCAATATACTCACAAAATGAATGACTCGACTAATTTAATTTATATCCAAAATTAAATATCTAACTACGATAAGAGCATATAATTTATAATAATAATAATAATAATAATAATCTATTTAATTTTATACATATAAATTAGAGGTTGACTCAAAGCATATTAAAAAGAAAAATAAAATATTAACCAATTACAATTCAATTCTTTTGTAGAATTTATATATATTCATGAGACTTCAAAATATTATCATTATATTCATTTATGTAATTGTGAATTTAACACTTCAGCTTATTATTTATTTCATTTTAAGCACAATATATATTAAGTTATACATAATTTAACTATAGTATATTTACATATTTAAGACAATAACCAACCAAAAGATATGAAAATTAATCAAGGTTTTATTATATTTAGAATAAAAAAATTATTATAGCTAAATTCGAAAAATGGATATTATCCAATATACCAAATTGATAACCAAACCAACTATTGATCCAAAAAAATAATTAAACCGACAATAATATATCTAAAGTCATATGTATAAGTAGAATAATATAATATTTATTAATATAAATTATACATATAAATTTATTGAAAACTAAATCTAAATATCATCAATTATTATAAAAAAATTACTTTTATAAATATTCATACTCGTGCATGAGCACGGGAAAATCACCTAGTATATATATATTTAGGAAAATCTAAACCAAATCTTAAGAATATCTCTTAAGACCTACAAACACAACTACAATTGTACTTTTGAAAAACAAGAGGAACTAGATCAAAGGCCAGAAAGGTAATTTTGTTTGTCTAATAAAAATATGGAACCTCACATTTGTATTGTTTTGGATATTTTCCTAATTTCCATGTTATTTTTGATTTTTGGCCTAATTAACTCTAATTCTAATCACTAATCCACCCCAAACTATTTTATTATACTTGATGATTTGATTACACTTTTTCAATCAGAATGATAGTTACGTTTCATTTAATTAAATTTAGACAACCGTTACCTAATCAATTAGATTCAGAAGATGTTTCACGAACTATAAGACAAACAATCCATATAAACAAAAAAATGTTAGTAATCAAAACAGTAACCAGGTTTTACACTCAATACATACAGGCATAAATAATTTTATTACATTAAAAATATTATTTTTGAATAGTAACAAAATATACTGTTTAAATCATTTTAAAGATCATACATGCAAAAATACAAACCAAATAATTCACGTGACAAGCAGTTGTTCTTCAGAAACTCATAGACTAGCATAAGTTGCTTCTTTTCAACACAGCATCCATGAAGTTTATCTTCTTTACTTAAAACTTAGATATGTTGATTTTTGTTTGTGCATGGTGTGTTATTCAGAATAAAACTATGATTGTGTCTTCGAAATGTAGTCAAGGAAGCAAAGAGTTCCTGAATGAAATAAGGATGATAAAAGTAAAGAAGATGAGAGAGAGTTGAGGTGAACCTTGTAAACAGGGACAAATCCACCTTCACCAATTTTGTTTGCTTGGATCAAACTTATTAGTGGCTGCCTTGATTTGTTCCAGGGAGAAAGTTGCGGTCTGAAGAAGTTCTAAACCCTCTGAAAGAAACTCAAAATTCAAATTATAACCTTACAATAAATCCTCCTAATTTTACCGGGACATCTGGATAAGACTCATGAGCAACTATGTAGCACATACCTTTTCTATTTGCTTTTTTTGTTACGGCTTCGTCCTCTAATCCAACACAAAATCCTTATAATAATAAAGGAGACTATAACTGGAACAGCTATGTCTACAATCTCCAAAATTGAGCAGAGGCAATCATCATCATCACTGATTCACTAACAAAATCCAAGCCCATGAAAAAATAAAGTAAAGACATACTAGGTTCCACGGATATAGCTGAAATTATAGATCCATCAACTCCTAGAATCGGAAGAGAAATTGTGTCTTTGCTAGCCCACCTCAGGCTGATCTTGAGGTTGTGGTCAGTTACTTGGACCACAAATTTCTTCACAACCGGCTTACCCAATCGACCAGCTTTTTCTTTAACGCTGAAGTTTTTAACCACCAACCTCTCCTGTGAAATGTCATTAGATATAATTTTACTAAATATTAGCAAAATATAAGGAAAATTTTAGCAAAATATAAGGAAAAATTTAGCAAAATATAAGGAAATGTTAAGAAAATATAAAGATAATTATATGATTTATTTTTAGACTCTTAAATATGATTTATTTTTAGGTTTTCCAATCCAATTTCCCTAAAATCTAAAAACTTTCCAATCAGTTTTACCGCCTCTATTTCATACTCTTTTGTTTCATTTTATTTGTCATTCTAGATTTTTCACACAAATTAAAAAAAAAACATTTAATTTTATACATTTTCAAGATAAAAACACAATTAACTATACACTAACCACTTTTCAACCAATAAAAAATAATAATATCAAATAAAACTAATATATATTGTTTCGAAACTCTAAAACGACATTTATTTTGAAAATAAATTTCTCAAGAATGACAACTATTTCAGTAATAAATGTCACTTGAAAGCTTTACACACATATTAAGAAATCATTCAAAAACTCTATTTTATCCTTTATTCAATCACTAAATAAAGTTCTCTTTCTAATTAATGCATTAAAATAGTAGCGATAAAACTGAATTTTTATTTAAAATTTAACATTAAAAATACAATGATATTTTGATAGCCATGTCTTACATGCACTAAGATGTTTTCACTATTACATCCTTTCACTGCGATTCATAGCAAAAAATAAGGTCACCAAAGAATTCTATATATGCATTAGCAATTTGTAAAAACATGAGCTGTGAAAATCTAAAAGCAGATTTGTAAAAAAAAAAAAATAACCTCTCTATTGTATACTTTATTATATAATGATCATTATAACACCACCTGGGAGCCCTAAGAAACACAAAAGAAAACCACACATCTTCCACCAAGAACTGATTCCCCTTGCTCCATATCCAAAATGGATCCAAGTACTCTTTACTGGCTATTGATTTGGCGTAAGCACTGCAAAACAAACACAAATTCAAAACGATTAGTTCACACTAAGTGCAAAATGAATAAAAGTTTGAGAGACAAGTCTCTAGATCCTAGCAATAACAATGCAGAGATGTAACAACTCATATAACAACCTATCACATCTCATGCAAAACTCGAGATTATGATCCAAGAAGCAAGTGATGATGATATGTTTGTTAGAACCGGCCAACTTTTATTTGCTGTGGGTGTTTAAATGAATCACTCAGAAACAAAAAATCTACATATAATCTTTTGATTTTTCAGCATTGATCCTGGACTGACTTGCTTAATTAGGCTGATGATTGGTTTCCTTTATTATTCGTACCCCACTCTTCCTCACCCTCACTTCTATTAACAAGTACAGCACTACCATCTGTAGAGTCTTCATCAACAACACCTCCCTCTTCTTGATTCACTTCTTCTTCTTCCTCTTCGCCTCCTTCATTCTCTGCATGACCATTTTCTTCTGCTACCTGTACATTGTACAAAAAGACTCAACTAAGTCCTGTGAAGAATAAAGCTGTTTGCTGCTTAGCAGATGATTCAGACGAACCATTTTTTAAAGTAATAGAGCTCCCAGAAGAGCTTACCTCGTGATCGCTGTCTCCATTTTCAAGTGGTTCCTCTGCTTCAACTTGCAGGTTTCTGAAGGCGTCGACGAGGGTAATGAAAGGTTGATCAGCCTGGGTTGCATAATTTTCTGCAGCAGCGTATACTCCCCTGTGGAAAAACAAGAGTCAGATTCTTGGTTTGACCAAACCAATGATACTCTGGGTATGAGGCTATCAACATTAACCATCTCAATGTGTAAAACAAAGTGAAAGAGTGAGTGGAGTACCTCGCCTCTACCGCATTCGCTTCAACAGAAAGAGCAACTTGCCAATCCTCAAAAAGATTTGGGTACTCTTCAGGATCAGCCAAAGATTCTGCTGCTTTTAAATTAACCTGTTGACAAGTCAAAGGTTAATTTAAAGCCATATAATTACTTTTTTTTCTCATTCACCAAAATTCATAAAAAGATGAGTAAATAACCTTGCTCAGATCTTCTCTCCAAAAAGCTACTATCTCTGAAACTTTGCTTGGAAGGTAAGACCGTGCCATCAGAGCAGCTTCTGGTATCCACTTGCTGGAAAAGAAGAAAATCTTGTCATCGAGATAACACAAAGCATATGGATTTGATTTTTATAAACCACCGCCATTTGAGCGCTCATGAAATACCTCTCCACCAATAACTGCAAACAATCTTCCAATCTACCAAGCATGAATAAGCAAAGAAAGGCGACATTGTTCTTTCCCTGCTCCTTAGCAAGCGATGCAAGTTTTGACATCCCTTCTGCATCTCCCAAAGAAGAATATAGTAGTAGCAAACCACTCAAATCCATAGCGTACTTCATGCAATCCTCGGCCAATTGAAGCTACCATGATTGAGCACACACAAATGCAATGCAATCATTTAGATACCATTGTAAAATCGAAAAAATCGCAATGTGGTAATGTCGACTGATATAGTCAGCTTCTACATAACATTAGGACATGATATCAGAGAAGATATACCTTGCCAGAAGACATGGCTAGCTATCCTAACTGCTTCCATTTAGACTCACTTTGCACTTCTTCAGCTATTTCCTACAAGGATAAGAAACAAATTGCTTTTAACAAAACACAGTCAAAGTACTTACTTCAGATTCAATCATCACATAATATTTACCTTAGCAATTTGAAGTCTACCCAATTGAATGGCCAGCTCAAATCTGTAGTCAGGATCTGTCGCGATTTCTAAAGCATCCTCAATCATTCCCCGAGACTCCAAGAAGTGAGCATCACTAACAAATTGGAAGCATTTCCAGGACAAAGTATGAGAGATGTACACAAAATAGTAGAATGCCGACAGAGGGAAAATATAATATATCAAATTGAGAGAATCCTCATAAACATCTGAAAGAAAATAAAATAACAATACTCTTCGTAAATTGCAAAAATAAAACTTGGAATCTAATCTAAAAAAAACATCACGTAAGACATAGGTGGCAGTAGGAGATAAACTGTGGTACATTATTGAATATTGTACATGTAGAAATTTGGACTAAACTAGCTTATAACGTACTTGTTATGCTGCTCTTTAGGAATTGTAGGTAAAATTTCGTTGGCTTTGTCCAAATCACCTCGCATCACAAGAGTCTTGTATTCAATCAGGCTAAGTAACAGAGTATATCCTATGACACTGGATTCCAAAGAAAAGGTGAAATACATCAGAATTTTTTGAATGCATTATTAAACTGTCTGAAATAAAAAGATAGAAATAAGGAACGTACTTGAATTCTTTGTCTACCAAGTAGACCCGGCTTTGATTGGCAATATAGCCTAACAAATACATTGGACGGTCCAAATGATACATTGTGGTTACCTGACGTAAGTATATTAGCAGCTAAGATACAGCGTAAACTTATAAAGATGATTGGATCTTTGAAGAAATCAAAATATACAAAGAGTACCTCGCCTCCAACACAATAGTTAAGCTTCGAAGAAGAGTTGTTGTAAATGAAGCAGTCCCCAACCCATACACCTGTCCTAACACGTTCATCGTTCTCATGGAGCACCTCAAAAGCATCGTCAACACCTTCTTCATCAGTTGATCTTCCACTAGCAAAATGCGAGGAAACCAAGTCACGCTGCCATAGAGAGGAACACGAGAGTGAGCATTAGCAAAATCCATGAAAGTGGAAATGAAAATATATTCCTGAAAATGTTGAGGTTGAGTGGGACTCTCACATTGTACTTCAGGATGTAAAATGACGTATCACTAGCAATTGCTACTAAATCGCCACTTTCTGCCCAATAAAGATTCTGCAATTTTTTCATGGGAGTACTAAAGAGTTAGAAAAAACACAAATGAGGACACAGCTTTCAACCGAAGAAAAATGTAAAAAAAGACTAGGAAAAAACTGATGAAAGTTACATTCCACAACAGAGACAAGTTCAGTGGTTGAATACCTTTACTGTGACATCAATTCGCTGAATCAATCTACATTCAGCCCAATCATAAAAGCAGATGAAATCATTTGAACACATTGCTAACAAGGATCCTCCAAAAATCTTCTCAGTTGAGAAAGTAGGCCGAATACTCTTCTTTTCCTGAAAACACCACCTTTATTAATAAACCAGTGATATGTGTTGTAGCTGAACTCACTCAATACAAAATATGATGAACTTTATTGAAATTGCAAACGTATATACAAGACGCAAATCCGATTACAATCCGAAACTAGATCGTACACATTGTCTCTAGGAATCTCTCAACGATCTCATCACGACGACTGCCTTGAAGAACTAATAAGGTTCAACAAATCTAGCAATAACAAAATGCATAACAACCCAGACAACCCTAGAAGCACACTCTAACAAAAATGTATTGGAAACGCCATAATGGGAATATCAAACCTGGAAATTTTTATTGAATATCTTTATCTTTGACGAGCTCTCTCGAACTGCACATTCCCCCTCGGATGACCAAACAAATTCCAGTCCAGAACCGAAAGATCTATTTCTCCAAGCCAAAGCTGTGTAGATTACGTACTCTCCATCACCGCAGACTACGACAAACCTCCCGTTAGGGTTGTGCTTCAAGCTCTGAGAGTTAGAATGATAGCTATTTATGAGACACAAGAGATGATTATACTGAACCACGCTCTTGGGACTTCGTGAGAAACAGAATTAAATTTCCATCATCTATTACCCAGTTCGTTTTGAATATAAATTATTTCAAGGAACGATTAAAGGATCATATTTAGCTGAAGCATAACTCTAGTGATACCGACAACTTCGATTGTTTTCACAATAGCTCCTATAATAATTCAGCACAACAAGACAAGTTTCAGACGGTGCTGTATAGTAACACTCACTTGTGGATAAAGATCACAGGTTCCCAGATCTTTAACAGCCAAGGGAAGTCTTTCTCCATCAGTAACCTAGGTAAAGAGACGGAAGCTTAAAATCATCAGAAAATACACATAAATAGCTTAGTCGCGCAAGTTCGGCCATGCTATAATAAAGTAGTTATAGTTAGAAGTTAGACCTCATAACTGGCACCAATACTTTTGATGTTTGCAGTTTGGATTTCATTATGCTTAGCCCATATGATTTTTCCGCTACTGTCCATGCTAGCGACAGGAATTTCTCGTCCAAGTTTAACCATGATGGTTCCTTCATCGTATCCAATCACAACCCTGTAAAGTCAAACATGTCCGTTAGAGGGTTGTGAATGCTCAGCTGAATACAGCGTTAACACTGATCCCTTAATAGCTCTTGGTACTTTTAAGTACCCTTAGCTCTTCAAATAGTGAATTTCAGAAGAAATTTAACAGCAAAATGGCAGAGACAAAGATTCTACTTAATCTACTCCTGGAAAGCAAATCTACATAGAGGAAGCAAAAGTCCAAATACTTACCTGCGCGAACTTTTTACGTAACCAATGGCCCAAACTCTCTCGAGAGCATAATTCAATGTGTTCTCTAGCCTGAAAAATAAAGTAGAAATGAAAAATTAAAAGACAAAACAAAACTACTAATTGAATGGTAAATACCCTCAAAAAAGTATCAGCACTGTTATCTCTACTGAAAGAAGAAAGGGTTAAGATAAAAACACCTGTAAGTCGTGGCGTGCCAAATGCGAACAGTGCCATCCTCAGAACCTGTGAGTATTATTGGAAGCTCCGGATGGAAACATACTGCAGATACATTGTGGGTGTGACCTTCTAGCGTCTGGACACAGCTTTTAGTTTGATAGTCCCATACCTGATCCCAAAAGCACAACTAGTAAATGATCTACATAAAAAACAAATAACATATATAAGCAGAAACAGACCTTAGCAGTATGATCATCAGAGCCAGTAATTAAATAGGGCTTATCACCCCCTGTGAAATAATCCACGCAGTTGACTCCTTTCTGATGAGCATCCAGTGTAAAATTTGGGTCTGAGGAACCAAGATTCCATATCTGAAGATGAACAAGCATGATAAGACAGTCAGACCAAACACTTTTTAAAGAGCCTAATGTTGACTAAGCCATAAATCTAAGCTTGGGGGGAATTAACACACCTTTATGCTACGGTCAAGCGATGCACTGGCAAAAGTATTGGTGTCTTTTGGATTAAAAACCACTTGCATCACATAGTGCGAATGTCCCTCAAATATTTGAGTACAGGCCCAACCATTTTCCCAGTCCCAAAGCTTTATGAGCATATCATCAGAAGATGACAGCACATAAGGGAGGGTCGGATGGACAGCAACACACCTAATGTAATTCGAATGAGCCTCAAATACTTTGACCTTGTCCATTGTATTGTAATTGTAGACACGGATGTACATATCATCCGCTCCTGCCACAACCCATTGCTTGCGTGGAATAAACTTGGCCGACCTAACTGCAAAGTCATATATACAAAAATTCAGTATCAGAAACGAACGCCACAAAGCCATAAACATCAAGTCTAGAATATATAACAAAAAAAAAACGCTCGTCAAATCATTATCATACCTGGCAATTCGGTCACCTCGAAGGATTTTGTTATCGTCTGAAAGGAAAATCGTATTAGATTCAGATTAGAAGAAACTCCATGAAATCATAAAAACAACTAAATCATTCAATCTCTTATAGTGACTTCTACTTTACGTTTTGTTCAACTACACAAAGCACAAAGAGGCAGAGAAAAAAAAATCCAAAAAAATTCACCCACCTGTGTCTGGTAGTTCCAAATACAGACGGTTCCAGAATACAAACTTGCTAGAATCCTGTGACAACAACATGGGAATAAGTTGCCATTCCATCACCATATCCAAGATACAATAGCATGTACTAAAGCTGCAAGTCAGCACAATCAAAATTGAAAACTAGTTACCATGGCTCTGTGGGATGCAGATCCACAGATTTCACTCTCTCTGATTGTTGAGCAAATTTTTTCTGATGAAAACATAACAAACGCAAATCAATAACAAATAATAACGTTAGAAAACTGTTACTAATACTATACATCATTGAAGGAGAAGAAGAACAATTACTTTGATATCAAGTCTGAGCGGCTGTTGCAACAAAGAGAAACAGAACGAATAGTCAGTACAAATCTTGCGCCATAGATAGCGTTAGAAGCTATAAACATCAGATCTTCTCAAAAACTCAATCTCATAAACCAAAATGCGAAACACTATACTCGATTTCATGAAAAAATACAACACGAAACGGCGATTTTGGAGAGAAATTATGAAAACAGAGACGAATAATACGAATGTATTCGGATTCCACGATCTCACCGCATAGATACGGATGAAATGCAGGGATCTAGATCGCATCGCAAGCAAGTTCAGTTAAGATCTGGGAGAGATGAAATCTAAATTTATGAGAGGTTTGAGTTCTCACCATCTTTGCAGACTAAGCAAAGAAGATCTGCTCGTCGGATCTCGTACTGCGCTCAGATCTGCAAACCGGCGATTGAAGGGAAGACGTTAGGCTCGGCTGTGGAGGGGGGAATGTATTTGATACGGCGTGGATTAATATATCATTTTTAAACATTAAACACACTTAAATTCACCTCTGCAATCAAATTGTGAGACGTCACTAGTTTTTTTTTACAAACAAATTAACATAGCAACTAAAAATCATAGGAGTGAGTTTTTGTATGTTATCTTTTTTTTTGTTAAATGACAAAATATAAATTAAAACATTCGAAATACTAGCTTAAGTTGAAGGAATATAATTTAAAAATGAAATCGAACAACTTTGAATCTCTTACAAAATAATTTTATAAAATAATAAAGAATTGCATCTTGTGTTTTTACCAAGTCGGTCATACCTAGAGTCTCTATAAATTTCACAAAATTATATATAAACAATAATTTTGTACTATATAATTTTTTATTTTTTGTATTTTTAAAATTGGTCAATTCTTATAAATAGTGATTTTAAGTTTTTACATAAAAATAATCAACAAAAAAATGACCAACAAATATTTTCATTAAAGTGGCAAACAAACCTTTCACCCTTGTGTTACAAATATATATGTTTCCAAATTGGAACTTTTCATAAAAAAAAGGTTTAAAAAAAAATTTGAACATGTTTTTCTATTTTTCAATTTTTTTTTGAAATTCGAAAATGCTTTTTAAAACTACTTTTACAATTTTATTTTAAAATTTTATTTTTTTTTATATAATTTTAAACCCCACCCCCCTGACTATAAATCAAAAATCTAGAATTAGTTAATCCTAAGAGTGTAAATGTATATTTACCTTTCATTAAAATTTATTTTAGTCATTTTCATTTTTTAAGACTATTTTTATGAAAATAAACTAAAAAAAACTATATATTATAGCAAATTTCTCAAAAAAATTGATCTATCTATTTATAACTTCGTAAACAGTAATCATCAGTATATATTTATCTCTGGATTTTGTCAGTATGTTTGAATCAAGTTCATGTGTGTCTGGTCAATTTCTTGTGATATTAGGATAGATTTTGTGATACAGCTTGAATAAACATGATTACTGTTTGTTTGTGAATACTTTTTTGTCGGCAATATATTGTATTAGATGAAAGATATGTTACAAAGTATTGTAAAGACACATTATGCCTTGAATTTTTGTTCTTGTCATTCTAGCAAGAACGTCAACTTCAGAAACAATGATTCAGATAACATTTTTCACTGAAAACGAGATGGCTTAGAGGATTTGGTGCACACAAAAAAAAAAAAAAAGATGGCTCAGAGGATAATTCCTTAGTGACCTGGGTGGTGGTTGTGTAATAGCCGAGTGGCTCCAACCAAATCTCATTTTACTTCGAGAAAGTCATTATTAGGCACATTGAAGAGGACCTGATTGTCAACAACGAACCTAACAATTTGTGTTTCTTTGACAGCCATAAGTAAGGCTACAACTTCAAATTCCAACGATAGGATCAATATATTGCTTTAATGACTTGTCGTACTTGACATATCGTGCACATCTGTCCTATGCATGATCGGTATTTTGATTAAGGCCATAATGGATCTACAATACAATAGTACTTGTTTGTAATCTAAAGCAGATAATCCAGTAAATGTGTTGCGTTGCCATTAATATTTGCATCCTGAATTTGATGTTGAGCCTCCCAAGTTATGACTTCAACCCATAGTCTTCGGTCTAACCGATTTATTGATCAATTGAGGGATGAATTCTCTACGATTTTGGAAGCTTAAGCTATTCCTCTTATTCCAAATTTGCCGTACCAGTAAAAAAAAACTAAGTCATCAATCAACGGTGAGGAGGACATACCTAATAGCAACAAGCTCAAATGTTGCTGTAAGGACTGAGAATATTCACCCAGCTTGGTTGGTTTCCGAGAGGTGCTAGTTCCCAAACGTCTTTTGCAACTTAATTTACGTCGGAATATTAGATGATTGTGTGTTTCAAATGCTTCTCCGCATAGCTGACAATGATAATTCACTATACATCCCCTTTTGAGTCATGTACGTGCTACTAACAAGCTATTATGAATTGCTCTCGACCTAAAGATTTCTAATTATAGGGGTAGGTCAAGCTTTCAGATTCTTGAGAACATTCTCTGCTCTGCTACTTCACCATCTTGCCTGCTTTGAACATATAATATATTATGATTTAAATATTGTTGCTGGATGTAATATCCTGCTTTAAAAGTTTATTCACAAGTAATTTAATAAGTATCACTATTGCAAGTTTAAACAAAATAATTCGAGAGAAGTATGCACTTTGTGCCGCTTAGATCGCTTTTGTGTATATACCATCATTAATTAGTTTATCAGTTCCATAATCATTTCCTATTCTTTGTAGCTATACTTTTATCATGATTTTCTTTGTTGAAATGGAATTATAATCGGCATCTTAACTTAAATTAATCACAGGTAATCGAGTTTAAGACCAAACAAAGTTGATAGAAAGTGAGACAAAATGTAACTAAAAGCTTTAAGAAAATGAGAAAGGATGTTTCAAGTGAGAATAAACCTTCGTGATTCCTACCAAGTTTCTTTGGAGAACATATTTGGTAGAAGGGCCAACCTTTCTTTCTTTTTTTCAAGTGAGGAGACAAAATGTCATTGGAAGCTTTTAAAATGTTTTGAAATGGGCTTGTTGGAAGTGAGGATAAACTTCATGATTCGATCCTACCAAGTTTTATAAACAACATACACATATATACTAATATACATTTGGTTGAAGGATAAACCTTCATATTTTTGGTATGAACTTGGAAACATTAATATTTACATATCTTTGTTATATGGTCACTTTGTTTGAGATTGATTTTAACTGATGTCCGTAAAAAAAAATTTGGTCAGTCTACATTGAAATTAACATTACATCTTAGTGGTGGTTGAATATTCGACAAACATGTGAAATTAAAATTCAATTTTTTGAATGTTTATGTTGAATCTGAGGAATATCTACGTCAGGATTATGTAACCCATATGAGTTATTTAAAATAATCATATTTTAAAATAACAACTGATAATTACGCGTGTCAAAAAGAGTATATCAGTGATTAAACCATGATTAACTATGAATATATACTTGCAGTACTTGTTATGCAGTTCTACTCGTTGCATATATCACTCGTCGCATCATACATCTACTGCCAAAAGAGATTAGTTGTTTGGATGCTTGTTGTCCCATTATCTTGACTTTTCCTGGCTCCTCTTCATATTAATGCAAGTTTTCTAAATAAACCCATCGTGGTTATATTTTATTAGAAGCCCATATTCAAATACTATAGGGTTTACAATAATGATGTCTAATGTATGTTTTCTTTTAATGGGACCTTGCTAGCACTGGCCGTCAAATGAGAGAAACTAACCAGGTCAAAACTAGTGACCAAATAAAATTAGGTCAAAATTAAGATCGAAATGATTGAAGCGTACGAGAGGGAAGAAAGGTCGAAAGAAATGAAACTGGTATATTCTCAAGAATATGCCTGTCCACTTATAAATTTTTGAAAATCAAAATAACATTAACCAATGAAAAATATTTTTTTAAGTAAAAGAGCTATCTACCGGTAGATATATCAATGGACTAATAATGTTCAAGTTATCTTCGAATTTGTTCAAGATCTCACTTTTCAGTTTAAAGGCTACCAAAAGTGGGATGTGTCTAAGGGTGGACAATAGCAAGTAACAAGCTCACGAATCTAATGCGTTCACTGTGGTTGGAGTAGTACAGACTGGTCAGTCGCAGGATACGTATTTGGTCACCATTTAAAATTTGTTGTCAACGTTTAATTTATAAAGAGAAAATGGTAATAAAATGTCAAATTGTGCATAGCATGCTTGTTATCTCACTTTGGCGTGGAATACTTGTTATGTAGTAGTTTTTCAGCAACTTCTCACTCAACATGTTATTAATTGCTTTGAATCTATTTTTGTTATAACTGAAAGATTTCAGCCAGCAAAACCCAGTACTAGTCAATGGAGTTAATTAATAAAAAGATTTCAATAGCTAATACGTCTCTATAGTAACTAAACATAATTGAAATGGTAGAGAAACCCAAATTTTCATCTTGATCCATAGAGTGAAATCAACTCTAGTTGTTCCAATGTAAATCCACATCTTCTGTTCACTCCACGATGTTTTGTCTCATCTTGTGCAGTGCATCCTTGGTTCCGGATTTACTACGCGGGCTATTTGTCAACAAATGTATGTTCTTTTTGTTATTAGAATATGTTTTAACTTAATATGTATACATGTAAGCTAATCGTGTAAGTATATAGAAGCAGCATAATTTTGCGCATGCATGTTTATAATGTACAATGGGGGACTTTATCTCCAGCGTTGTTGCCAAATTATACAAGTCAGCATCGGCCAACCGTATGACTAGAATTTTCAAACAACGCAATATATCTGTTTAGGTTAAGTATATATATTCAAATAAAATTTATAAACATGCACAGGGTGTTATAAACGTGTGAAATTAATGTGATTCCACAACACTTTTTAACATAAAAATAAGGCAATCTAACGTCTGAAGATACTCTAATAAAATACTTGATGTATACTGTTTTATTCCATTTAGTTTCTAAAAAACCTTTTAATCAGTAGGGTCAGACTCTCAGTTAAAAACAAATTAATCGAAAGACTTCATTTTAACGTTCCTCGTGTTTGGAACATCTAATAGTGGACATAAATATTTTCAGGATACTTTCCCATTTTTAATCAATTGATGTTGA